TCTTCTCTCATTCTCTTTTTTTCTTCCTCACTTTTTTTCAATTTTTCATTTTCATTTAATTCTCCCTCAACATTTTTTCTACTTATTTCTCATCAATCTCTTTTTCTTTTTCAACTACTCCCTCTCTTTCCACTACCTCCTTACCTATGCACATATTAATTTCTCTACCACTTCTTGTAAGAATATCTTTGTAATGCTCTTTAGGATTGGCTTGAGTGTTAGCCGGAAATTACCCTTTGTGTTGGTCGGCCAATTGTTTTGATAATTGCCCAACTTGCATCTCAAGGTTCTTTATAGCCACATGGGTATTCTTTTTATTATACATTGACATTTCCATGAATTGAGTGAGGGTGTCTTCCATGTTTGAATTTCCACTTGGAGCTTGAGGAGGTTGAGTGTAGTTTTGATATTGTTGTTGACGATTAAAAGTTTCGGCATCTTAAGGCCTCCATTGTTGTTGATAACCATGATTTCCTCTTTGTTGGTAACCTTGTTGGTAAGGTGGTCGAGGTTGATACCCTTGATTTTGATTTCCCGTATAATTTTCCTCTTCCACAATCGAAGGACAATACCAGGTAGGGTGATCTCCCTTATAAAGCTCACAACTCACCACTTATTTGTTGTTGTTGGGAACTTTTTGCATTTCTTTGATTTGTTGTGGAAGTTTTGACATATGTTGTGTCAACAACTCCACTTGTTGTGAAAGCAACTTGTTTTGAGAAAGAATCACATCATTTGTTCCCAACTTGATCATTCCCGACTTCCATTGCGTTGTTCCATGATTATAATTTCCTTGGTGATCATTGAGTGTCATCTTATCAATAATAGCAATTGCTTCTTCCACACTCTTGGACATTAACGATCCACTCGAAGTAGCATCCAATAAATTCTTGTGCACTGATTGGAGACCATTTTGGAAGATGTGTACTTGAGTAAGGTCATCAAAACTGTGACCCTTGCATTTTCGTAACATGGATTTGAACCTCTCCCAAGCTTCATTGAGAGATTCATTTCTGCCTTGAGAGAATACCACAATTTCCGTCTTTTCTTCCATGAATCGATTATGTGGAAAAAATCATTCAAGGAACTTTTCTTCTAACACATTCCAATCCGTCATAACCACAGTTGATTAATCAAGATACCATTCCTTTGACTTCCCAATTAAGGAATGCGAAAATATTCTCTTGAACAATGATTCTTCTTCATCTTCCGGCGCTCCCGCTGCACCCATAATTTCATAGAATTTTTTGAGATGAGTGAAAGGATCCTCATGATCCATAGCAGTGAAAAGATTTTGGTATAGAAGTGCAAGAATTTCGGTTTTTATCTCAGAGTGCCTTCCATTATGGGCGTTGCATGCAAACTGAGCATTATACCTCAGACTGTTGGTACATGGTACTAAACTAGGAGGTGGTGGAGCTTCTATGATTGGTGTAACAATTGGTGCGGATGAAGAAGATTCTCCCTGTTCTTGTCTTTCTCTAGCACGTTATCGTCACCGCCTTGTTCTGCTATTGAGTCTACGAGCAGTTCTTTCAATCTCAAGATCAAAACTAAGTTCTTCTGCAGGTACACTCCCTCGCATAAACAGATTCTGCAAACTAGCCAAACAAATTAAAAAGAACAAGAGAATTACAGAGGTAAGAGATTCACAATACAAATATCTTAAAATCACTAAACTATTGCAATGCTTGAAATATCCTACTTAACAATCCCCAGTAACAACGTCATTTTGTTGAAAAGCATTTTAGGTGGGTGTTTTATCGTATCCACAAGGATTGTACGCAAGATATATAAATGCTTTCCGTTCAATAGTTTAACGTTCTAAGTAAAGATTTTTCAAAACATTTCTTGTTTTGTAACATAAGTTTGTCGCAAAGAGTAAATTAAGGCAAAAATGTTTTGTTTAAAGAAAAACATGTCAAGATTAAATTTTGTTAATCCTTTTCAAACGTATCCGACTAATCAAGCTTGTGAACTTAGTTTCGACCAATACAATCATGTATCCTCCCGAATTCGTTCATTTCTAAAGCGGCTTCATGAATATTATTGTTTTAATCGCTAGATGATTTCTTGAAATAGTAATTGAAACAATAAATATAAAGATTGATACAAAGCAAATATTAACTTTCAAATATATGTCTAGAGTTTGTTGGTTAATAGATGAAGAAATTAGATCAAGACTTGGAAAATCTATGTCTAGAGTGATTCAAACCATAAATACATCATTAAAAGCAAATATCTTCATTATCTATTGATCATAAACCTTGTTCATATACAAAATATCAAAAGAAATACATAAAAGCAAGATTAAATACCTCTAATCTTGACACAAAAGTGTTTAGCTACCCATCACCATGGTCACTTGATCAACAAGTAAGAAAAGAAGCTTTGCTAGCATCAAAGTCGAAGAATCGAGGATTGATGCTCCAAAGATTTGATTCTCATTTCTCCTTGAGTTCCTAAGGTTTTTTGACCTAGAAAACCCTTTCTATTCTCTAAAAATGCTGAAAAGTGTAAAAGTATAAGAGTTGGTGAAAATATCTCTAAAAGAAGATATTTATAGCAAGTGCACAAAGTGCAGTAAGTGGCACCGCGCTAAACGCCATCAGGAGCGCGGTCAGCAAAAATACAGTCAATTTCCTAAAAAGCACGCTAAGATATAGCAGCCCACTTATCGTAGTTGGAGACTTTAGCTACTGAAATTGGCAGAAAGGGCGCACTGAAAAGCTCGCTTAGCGCGATTTACCAACACGAACTCTTCGAAAATCAACTTTTAGATCTTCTTTCCTTCACCAATTGTTCCTATCATCAAATATAAGCAAGAAGATCTGTCAAAGAGCATTAAAATGATCATAATTCACAATATTTATAATAAAATCAGAAATTAACATAAATGTACTAAAACTACTAGATATTATACTAACTTATCAAGGAAACCAATTGAAAGGGCCATAAAATAAAGTCAAAAGTATGCACAATTTGGCCCTTAATAGCTACAAATGAATTGATGCATGAAATGTTATGATTAACACATGAATGATTGGTCTTTTGTAAAGCTTGGTTTTCTTTGAAAATTTCTAGCAAAGCTAAGTTTCTGAATATCAATGCCAATTTGTGTCTGGTGTACTTATGAAAATTGGACTTTTAAGTACCAATGACTCTTGGATTTTGGTTTATTAAAAAAAGTTGGGTTTTGGGTTGCCGATGAACACTGGGTTTTGAAGGTAGTGTCAATGAAGATTGGGCTTTGGTTATGATGGTACCAATGAAGAATAGACTTTGATTTCTTTCTAGTTTCCAATGAAAATTTGACTTTTGGTTTGTGGAAAGAGTTTGACTTCCCAACACTTTGGATCTTGATAGTTGTGATCGCAAGGCAGATATGAATTCTCTCGGTGCCCCAAATTTGATCCGCTGTTGGCAAGCTGCACGTCCGTTCATGGGAGAACCTCGACTTCTGTGTTGATTAGGTCATGGCGACTTATGGATGATCAACACCGGAAACTGTTGATCTCCCTTTAGACATTTTAAAATAAAATTTTTTTACTATTCTTTTCAATGCTTTTTTATTATTTCCCAAGGTTTTAATGCAGTGTTTATAAAAAATAGTTGATATTTTACAAACAAGCAGACAAAACAAAATAATAGGAAAAGTTTTGATGAAGAAATTTTCTTTTATTCAACAAAGAATTGATCCGTAAATGGGTGGTGTAGCGACCGGCAAAATAACAGAGTAGCAATCATCCTTTATTTGCTCCTAAGAAACATGGAAATAATGATAAAATCTAATGATTGAGGGTGAAAGGCTAGGTTCATGAGTCAGTTAAGTGAGAGGAAGGTACTAGACACCCCTCACTTTCATTGTTCTCAATGTGATCCTCCTCTAAGTCTAGGGTTATTGTGTGCTTAAGGTATGTTTGCTTTATCATTTATCCATTATTTAAATATTTATTTATTAAAAGAAAAATATTTTAGTATTTACAAAGAGAAAACCTAAAAATATTTTTGATTATTTGTACTCGCTAAAGTCTTAGAACTTTATCCCTTGAAAAATTCTCACGCATTAGGGATAGAAAAATATTTAATTTTTAAAAAATGCCTCAATGCACAAGGGCAGAGGACTTATAATTTGGGTGGGTAGAGTTGATTTTATCCTTTTTGATTGATTGCGAAAGTCCAATTTATTTTAATTTTAAGAAAATAAACCCATAATGTTATTATATTTATTTATTTTCACAAAAATATCAACAGTTTAATAAACTCCAAAGACCATATTTCTTATCCCTGACTTTTATCTCTAAACCCTAAAAATTTTCCTTGAATTTTATCCCATACTATCTCTAATTATCCTATGATTAACCTCTAATTATCCCAATTTATCAATATCCCATAAGTATTTCTATTTTTTTAAATTATGTTCCCTAATTATAAAATATTAAAAAAACCAGAATCATAAATAAAACTCGTCCTAATTAAATATTTTATCACAAAGTATAAGATGTACAAAAAATATTAAGTATTTATTTATCTTTTTGGAATTTTTTAATATAATTAACATTAAGCTAAAATTAATTAACCATTAAAATAAAATTAATCTCATTAATTATAACTAATATTTTTTTTTGTATTTTGATATTCACTATTTTTTTTTTTACATCTTTATAATAATCTCTATTTCTTCAATTAAAAAAATATGAAGTAAATAAACCTTGGCTTCTCTTTCTACGTGAGTGGTGGATGTAGCAACACAATAGTCCCCTTAATTCATAATTTAGAACACCTAGAGTATATATTTTCAATGAGCAAATAATAGATTTACCAAATAATAACTTTACTTGCATAAACTGCAACATCAATGAGCATGGCAATAACATCTTTTCATTTGTTACAAAAATCAATACTGTAATTCACAACTGTGTAAAGTATTATATTTCCAATCAATCTATAACCGCTTATAATTAATTCTTCCATATATTTAGCACAAACAAACAACCCTTTCAAAGTGCTAACAGAAAGTAGAAAGCCAATTCCACTGGCAAAGCAATGAGCATTCCTAACAAGATTCTGCAAAAGAGAATAAAACAAGAATAACATAAAATCTTAACCAAGAAAAAAAAAAGAAGAAGAAAAGAAAGAGATGCTTTGATATATTAGTACTTACGCAGTGCTTAAGATTGATGGATGGACATTATATTCTTTAGCAAAAACAAAAGGAACTATTCCTTGTGGTAGAGCTGCCTGCCACATGCACAAAATATATATAAAAATTACTTATGCGAGCTTATTTATAAACGCTTATTCTGATAAACACTTGCGCTATAAAATACAAATATATTTAATATTACGTATTTATCTTTCAATAAATGATGATTTGAAAAAGTAAGAGAAAAGAAGAAAAGAAAAGATGTTACCTGAACTATAGCAACTTTAAACAATGTGTTTCTTAATCCAATGACAATGGATGCTAAAGCCATTAGAGCAGGTCCTACTAAAACTTTCAGTCCAATTGCAACCAGTGTATTTCTTGCTCCACAAGCTATGATGCTTGACTGTGATGCCATAAACAGACCTGATAAACAAAAATTAAATTTTAATGCAATTCTTAGAATTCTTTTTGGATCAGTAGACGAAGTTGTAATAATCACTAGAAACTCGTATACAACCCTGGTGATAATGTCCAATCTAGCAAAATCGGCTTCTGCCGCCAGTTGAACTAGGATTTGCGGATGCAATACTCTTAGAATTTTATTTACTAATTTTCTTAAGTTCATGACAAGAAAATATACTTTGAATAATTTATGTGACATATATATATACCTATGCTGAACATTGCCATACCAAGACCTCCATTGGATAATAGTTCTATTGACTGATTAATCACTTCAGGCATATGTATTCCCCACCTGAAATGTATGCTTGACCAAATGATGCCTAATAAAGATGCATAGGTATTAGGGTTTCTGATTAGCTTCTTTCCCACTGTGACAAGAATGTGATAGATCTTCGTTTTCCTTTTTGTTCCAGCTGGTTCTTCATCTTCTTCTTCTTCTCCTTTTGATTGTATTTCACTAGCCGTCTCCGATTCTCCTTTAAGTAAACATCAAGAACTAGATGTAAGAAGCATGACTCTAAATTGCAATTGTGACATAATGCGTGTAAATGCAGTCACAATTGCACTTACAACACCGCTAGACCTCAAAATATCTGTGGTTGCAGACTGTAATTTAAATTTACGGATAAAAATATCAGAAATAATACCATTCTCTTGGTCGAATACTAGATAAGCATGTTTCTAAATTAGTATTTTTTCATGTTTGTACCAAAATCAAAATATGCATTGTGAGATAAAATCTAATTGCTTATTGCTTATTGCTATTTGTACCTGTGCTATGTGAAGGAGGTGTATATAGCATGTTCTTGGCAGCATCAAATTCATAAAGAAACAAAAGTAAATTGTACCAAACCATACTTTGCAAGAAAACAATTTGAGCTAAAAGAACAACAGCTTCATCCTTATACATAGCTTTCACCAATGGAATTCCAAGAATCAAAGTATTAGGAAGTGTAGACAATGATAAACCAGTTATAATCCATTTCAAACCACCTTTTCCGCAGATCTTAATAATTGCACTTAAGAGAAGAAATGCAAGAAGTTTCTGAATGAAATCAGCATACATGAGTTTTAAGCTCATTTTATAGATATTGTTGGATGAAATGATTTGAAAGGATAGAAGAGGGATTGAGAATTTTGCGACAAATTTGTTTATTCCTGAACATTGTTCTTGTGTGAAGATTTTGAACCATTTGATTGACACATAAGCTAAGAACATTGTTACATATAATGGGACAGTTTTTGTCACTACATGATAAACATTGGCTAAGGAAATCATGTTGTGGTTGGATGTTGAAACATTTAGGATCACTTGCTGTTTTATTTAGGTGTTTTACATGCTTTTTGGTTACTTTTTTTTTTCTTGTTGTTTGTTTAATGAATTTAGGGGCATTTGTTAGGGTGGAGAAGTGTCACATTTGGTCTACCGTGTTCATTCAATATAGATAGGAAAATTGAATTTTGAGATATTAATATTCATTTTTCTTATTTTTTACGGAATTAAAATTGATTGAATCGTGATCTTAATAATTGAAACATGAAATACTATTAATTTTTATTCACATAAATGACATTGACCGTTAGAGTTTTGAAAAATTTTCGAATATGATTCTACCGTAGACTATACGCAAAACTTTTTTATCTAGACAAATCTTAGTTAAGAAGATTTCTTAGATATTTTTTATTCAATCAAGTATAAAAAAAAACTAAATGTCCCTTATGTTACCTCGCCACTCTAAGACGATTCACATCTATAAGATTGAGATGCTAATTTGATATTCGTTTTTTTTTTTTTGTTTTTTTTTTTTTTTTTTTTTTTAATATTATAATGTTATAAAAATTAGTAATACTATAAATTTCTATTTATGAAAATGACATTAATTGTTATTATAGTTTTAAACAATTAGCAATGTGATTTTTTAAAACAATTTAAGAAAATTTTCAAGATATTTTCTTCAATTCAAATATGTGAATTTTTTTTCTATGATAAAAATTTAAATTTGGATACACATACTTCATATCAAAGAGAGTATTATGAAATTGAGCTCAATTCAAGTAACACATGAAATGAAAACACAGATATATCTTTGATGTTTCAACATGCACATTAAACTAGTTTTATTAATTAATCACTTTAAACTAAACCGCATGCTTGTTAAACATAAATTATTTCACTTTATAATAAAATCTTATGATATTTTGATAATTAAAGTAAATGTATTAAAGTCCATGGTACAAAAGATAGATTCCAATTTTGTTCTAGGCATTCTTTAGGTGTATATAGGTTCTTTAACAAAAGCAAACCTAGATTAAGACAAGCATGCTAACCAAAATATCAAAAGTCATTTATATATATTTAGGAAGGGCTCGAACCACCATGCCCATTTTACCAATTTTTTTAAAAAAAAAACTAAAAATTTAGATTCACATTTTCTAATATGTAATATGTTTGTTGTGATATACTCTATTATTATTATTATTATTTTTAATTTTTACGGATATAGATATTAACATAAAATTTTATAATTTTAAGTTTTAAGAATATTTAGATTCTTTTTTGAGATGGACATTCGATGCCTTTATCTGTGTATGTTCGGTCTCTTTTTAAAATTTTTTTTTTTAAGGAATCACACCTAATTATATGATAAAACATATTTTTATTTAAATTTTACCTTAATAAATATAATTTTTTTTATAAATAAATAATATTAATATTGTAGTGCATTTTTAAACCTAATTTTGGGACGGGCGTTCCTCACCTTCACTTGACTTATGTTTGTTATGTCTCATTTTTTTATTTAAATTTTAACGGAATTGAATTAAACGAGACATACAAGTCTGTTTGTCGTACCTAATTATATGCTAAAAACATATTTTCATTTAAATGTCATCTTAATAATCATGAGTTTTCTTTTTCTTTTTCCTTTTGATAAAGAAATAATATCAACGTTGTAAAGGAAGATGATGTTAATTGTGAGAAGTGAGGAAAGAACAGTGTGAAGAAGAATACTTTCTAGTTTTGGTCAAAAGTGAAAACAAGTGATCAAGAAGAGAATTTGCTTTCAAAAATGTGATTTTTTTTTGCCATAAAAGACCAATCATTAATCTCTTTTTCAGGCTGTTCTTTGTAAAAGAAAAAACCCAACCCATCAAAGATATTATATTCCAATGATAGATACAAAATTAATATACATGGGGGATCATGTGTTTCTCTCAAACAATACCATATATAATTGATTTATATTAAATTTTGAAAATAAAAAATAAATAGAAACAAAGTTTTTTTTTTACAAATGCAACAATTAATAATCTTTTTAAATTATATTTTTAAATATAACAATTATTATAAAATAGAGATAATATTTATTGACGATTACTCCTATGTCATAAAAGAATTTTTTATTTGCTAAAAAATTATCTAAAAATAATTCATTTTAAAAATAATTTATAATACATATTATCTATTTTTTTATAATTATATTGTCAATTAGATTATTTAATTTGGGAAAGATTAGCTAAGTTATTCTAAGTCCATTATAATAATTGCATTATCAGTGTTGCTTATTCATTGTCTCCTACTTTTGTTTTCCAAATAAAGTATAATTTATGAGTAATTGTGGTGTAATCAAATAACATGTTGAAAGAAGTAAAGAAATATTGGGTTAAGGTAGGAATAGTAAATCACATTGTTAATTATAATTAATACCTAAAAAATAATTAAAGTATTGTTCAAAATATTTTAATAAGATAACATAAGGAAATCTCTCTTTGGGATCACGAGTGTTGGAAGGTGTAAGTAGGAATGAGAATAAACAAATGACATTAATATTTTTTACATAATTGTTATTATTATATTAAGTTTATATTTTTTAGTAACTAATAAATTTGTTCATTTTTATAGTAATTCATGCTTATTAGCCTATATTAATATTTCATTTATTTAATTTTTGATATTATAAATTAAAATTAAAATATCATATCATAATTAGACCGATTCTCCAAAATTGCTTTTAAATATTAAAATGGAGATTGATTTTATTGGTTTATTAACTTATTCATCAATTTAAACATATGTCATACTACATATATTTTAGTATGTTTGTATGATAATGCTATCACTCAAAAGTGCAAGTAATTTATCATTTTTTATAAGTTGATTGTGTTTTAAAGACCGTTTAATAATTTCTATGATTTTAAAAATAATTTATCAAATGTTTGTTTGTTAATATTGAAATGACAGAAAGTAAAATGAATTTTGGTGTTTATCCGTTGAGAAAATTTGTTAGAGTTAGATTTTGTCGATTTATTTTTATATAATATCATTGATCAATAATATGCAATTCTAATATATTATTAATATTAGCGTCCATTGTTCTCATCGCATCTCATGTCCGAGTCAATAATGCGAGATCAACCATATTACTTAAATTGACGATCTTTCAACCTATTAAACAATACGATATCATTAAGCTTTAACAATTCATATCGATATTGAACCTAAATCTATCTCGAGACTTTAGCATATCTAATAGATGAAAAGTTTGGATCTAGTAATGACTAGTATCTTTGGCATATCAAGTCACACCATGAAAACATGTTTTAGGTAGGCAATACAAAATAAGCATTAAGATCAAAAAATTAATCAATATTAATGCTTAAGAAGAATTACATAGAATACCACGATCATGATCAATACATGGGCATTAGGAAGACTACATCTAACCCCCAACAAATGAGAAATTAGCTACACTTACTAATTATAGCTTTACAATTAAGCCTCAAAACAAAGATGTTCAAAAACATATGTTGCTGATTCCTCAGACAACGCTTTCTCCCTCAATCTTCTTATTTTTTCCTCTCCTATTGTGTTTCTGGTATACAATGGACTTCTCTCACTCTCTACCAAGAAAACTACCTAATTACATAAAGTTGTCTCCAACTGAATTTCCTGAATCCTTATTTATAGGGTGCTGATATACCATTCTCGCTAAGAAAGGCTCATATATTACTTAATGTGCCTACTTTCTTCACCCTTAAGCCATGCCAACTCATTTTGTAAGTGGTCTTTGCCGCCTCTTCTCGCTTAACGCACGTCCAAGCCTGCTTAGTGAGTGTAGAGGAATTTACAAGTCTAGGAGGTTTGATAAGTCAATATTAAAATTATTTATTTGTCACAAAGTTAGTCACTTTAAGAAGGATTGTCTTAAGAGGGAGGTTAATGAAGATTGTATTCAGATTACAGTTGCCTTAGATGGCTCCAATGTTATTTGTCATGCTTCATTAGCTAGTAAATAATTTCATGAAAATAACAAGCTATATAATTTGAGGTCAAGGTATGGTAAATTCTTGGAGGTCAAGCTAATGAGTTTTTCAAGATACAAGCGATAACAACACATTCTATCACTTTTGGCATGTGTTTGAATCATAGTTAAAGGGTTTTGATATCAGATGCTTGTCGTTCAATAGTTTACCATTCTAAGAAAAAGGGTTTTCAAATTTTCTTTCATAAATTGTCACGATTTTTAGTAGCAAAGCTTTAAATTCTAAAGTGTTTGATTAACAAACTATATCAAAAGTAGTTTTCATCTAGCCTAACTTATACTTATTCTTTCAATATTGCATGTGAAGTCGGATTCGATTAATATCATCGTGTATCATCTCAATACCTTCTATCTCTAGAGCGACATCGGGAGAAATACCGTATTCATCGCTACATGGTCTCTTCATATAACAACCAATATAGTAAGCTTTAAGTTCAAAAAAAATCAAATATCAACCATAAACCGATCTCTCAAATCTATAAATTGATACATGAATATTTTAGGTCAAGTTCCATAAAATCTATGTCTAGAGTTTTATAAAACAATAATGGATCATTAAGAAAAAAAAATATTCATCATATATTAATCATCACTTGTTTACATACAAGGTCAATCAAAAGAAACACATAAAGTTAAGGTAGACTACCTCTACCTTTGATACAAAGGAAATTAGCTACCCATAACCTTGGCAGCTTGCTTTCAAGTAATAAGAGAAGATGAATGAGCATCCACATCGAAGAATCAAACTCGAATGCGAATCCAGCTCCTATTTGGAAAATATCACTTTTTGGTGAAGAAATGCAGAAAATATAGGTTTTAGTGTGAAAATAGGATTATGATCCCCAAAAAGTGTGAAAAGTACTTATATAGTACAACTAAAGTTGGCCAAGTTCGCCCAGCGAACGATTTCTTCGTCCAACAAGGACTACTTTATGGCACCTAAAGTGCCTCTGAACAG